ATGGCACTGAAGTTTGGCGTATGTGGCACTTGGTGAAGTTGAGCTTTAAGTTGTAGCTGGTTGCTCTTTCAACTACTTTGCGCAGGATTGCGTCATGCTCTTCCATGGTGGGGGCTGCAATGAGAATATCATCCATGACACTAACAGCTCCTGCTATTCCTTCCAGCATTTCATCCATGATGCGCTGAAATATTTCAGGTGCACATTTTATGCCAAAGGGGAGTCTGAGCCATCTGTACCTTCCATTTGGGGTGTTGAAGGTTGTGAGGTAGGACGATGCTTCATCCAGTTTGATTTGAAGGAACCCTGACTTGGCGTCAAGGACCGTAAAGACTTTGGCACCAGGCATTGTGGAAATGACTTCATCTATGGTGCGCATTGGGTGGTGCTCTCTCATTATAGCTTTATTCAGGTCACTTGGGTCTATGCAGATTCTTATCTTTCCATTGCGTACTGCAGCTACCATGGAACTCACCCACTCAGTAGGTTGATCAACTTTGGTGATAAAACCATCTTTTTCCATTTCATGCAGCTTTTCCACTATCTTTTCTCTCAGTGCAGCTGGTTGCCGGCAGACAGGATGAACCACATCCTTTGCATCTGGATCAATCTTTATTGTGTAAGTGCCTGGAACTCGCTCAGTCCAGCCGGAGTGGACGGAAGAGCAGTTGCATCTTCTATTCTGCTCATATCACTATCCTCAGTAGCACCTCGTAGTGTGTTAGTACGAACAATGAGGTCTAAATCTTCAGCTGTATTGCCACCGAGTACATTTTCCTGCATAATGTCCACTATTTCAAACTCTGCACCCACTTCATGTGATTTATGTTTTGCTGGAAGGACAATAGCTGCTACTGGCTTTATCTTGTGATTTGAGTAGGAACGGAGTACTCTGTTGGAGCGCTTTAGTTCTCCTTTCCTTTGTGTTCAAGCAACTGATATCTGTTCAGAGTCAGTGTATTACACCTAGCACCTGTGTCTATCCTAAACATAACCTCCTGTGATAATACATCAACAGCTGCTGACCATTTATCACCTACATCACCATCACACTGTCATATTTATGTTCAGAATTTCTTCATCAGATGAATCCTTTCTTGATTTAACATTCACAGCGTTCACTGTACGCTTTTGACACACAGCCATCCAGTGATTTCGCTTGTGACAATAAGAGCACAATGAGCCTTTTGCTGGACATTGTCCCTGGTTCCATTTATGCTGTGGGTCTTTTCCACAGCTTGAACATGTTTCTGTTTGCTTGTGTGATTTTTGCTTTTGCAGTGTGGGCTTTAACTGACCTTTGTTGAAGACTTTCTTGTTTGACACTGAGTGTTTTGGTCTGGCAGACATTACTGATACTTGGGAATCCTCTTCTCTGATTATTTTGATTTGTTTCTGAGAAAGCTCAAATTGTTGGGAGATTTCTATGGCCTTAGCCAATGTTAATTCCTTCCTTTGTCAAGAAGTCTCTCTTGCAGATGTGTTTCTATATGTAGGAGTCTCCAGTAAACACAGTGGGATTATGCAGATACCACTGTTGATTTATCATCATCTATAAATCAATAATTTGTCTCACCATGAACAACAAATGCATATTTTCATTGCACAGCTGTTACACAATCAATTGGGATAACACTGCATGAGTACAATGTTGACAGGCAGCATGTAAAGTGGAATAGATCCACACTTATGTGTCATGTTTTAGGCTGGATAATGTGCTTTAAATGACAGAGCGCCACTTTCTCACATCCTGTCAGCAATTCTTTGCCAAACCGCCAGCTTGTTGTTTAGCCGCTAACTCTAAAAGAGGACCGTCGAATACAAACGTGACATGACTGCGGAATCTTTCAAACTCCTGATACATATCCCGAGCGTCCCAGTCGATTTTAGGGTGCTCGAATTGTGAGGATGCCATCACGGTTCTGGTTCTTTCTATTGTTCGACTTCTGACACCATGTAATATACTGCACACAGAGACGGGCGTGTTTCTCTGTCTGATGTCTCTTTATTTCGCGCCGTTTCTTGGTGGTTCTTACAACAAGACACGTTACAGGTCACATGACTATGGATGCCCAGCGAAACAAGAAACATACTGGTGCACAATACTTTAAAGATTCTTTGTAAGGGAACGGGGTTCCCTTTTCCTTGCTAAGCTGGTGTTTAACCGGTAGTTATATGTGAAAAACAGAGACCAGTAAAACACTGGCGATCACAAAATTCAGTGTCATTAAAATGGCGGCGCAAACGAACGCAGCAGCCCCTCTCTCTCCGAGTTGTGTGCCTAAAAATGTGTGTTATAGTGCGTGTTTGTGTTGTGTTTATGTTCTGGTGCACGTAGTTCAACGTCTACGTTGCGCCCAAGATACAGTCGCCCCTGCCTTGTGGATATAGGATATAAGTCAAAACATTTCAACTCGGACCAGGAAGTTGCAGAGATCTTCTGTTATATTATATATAAATCCGCTGCTGACAGTTTTTTTTTTGTTTTGTTTTGTTTTGTTTTGCCGGGATATCTGCTCCTGTTGGTCATTTGCAATACTGTCCGTATACACGTCATATGCTATTTGCACCTCATCACCAACGCTCTGGTGATGCTGGACATCTGACAGTCTCCTATTATTGTTTTTTGATTCTCTATTGCCACCTCATGATAGATTTGTTTTGCACCATTGTAGCTATAGTAGAAGTGGTGGCCCTCACAAAGAAGTCACAGAACGTGGGCCACACAAAGTCATAAAGAAATGTATGTGTGTGTGTGTGTGTGTGTGTGTGTGTGTGTGTGTGTGTGAGAGAGAGAGAGAGAGAGAGAGAGAGAGAGAGAGCCAAGAAAGAGGAACCAAAAAAACTTATTTTTAGAAAAGTTGTTTGATCATGATGACACCTGATTGTAAAAGGTGACAGGTCAACAACTGACAAGGTGTGACACAGGAGTCACACAGAGACAGCGTATAAGTTTCTATTAACAGCCGAGGCCAGGAATCAAACCGCCAACCTTTCAATTAGGAGACAGCCCACTCTACCTCCTGAGCCACAGCTGAATTACCACAGTCAAAGAGGTTTTTTAGGCCAGTGCTACAGTGACTACACCACTGTATGTCCCATCTTAAAAGCATGCTGTGTACTGACAAAACCAGACACAGACATGTCAGCTT